AATTACCTATAACAGATGCGAAAGAACACCGAATTACGCGTTCAGGTTTCTGTGACCTTCAGAAAGAGTACATAGACAATCCGCATCAATGTATAGTTTGGGTTATTATTTGTTTGGGTGAAAATAATCTGCACCAATATGTTATCGAGGCATACAAAAAGGTCCACAGACTTCGAGACATACGAAAAATCAAGTCCATTTAGCGCGTGTCGCAATTTTCACACCTTAAAAATTAGTTTTTTATAGCTATAGCAACTGCAGCGACTATGAAAAAAGCTGTGTGATTTTCATAGAAAATAAGGGCACTTGTAATTCATTTGAGAATGTTATACATCGCTAAAAGAGGTTTCAAATCTCTTGGATTTCTATTAATATTAAATAAATTTTATTAAAAATTGAACTAAAATTGTTCGTATCATTAAAACAATTCAAATTCAAAAATTGTATCAGTCAAATTCCCTCATTTAAGGTGAATATTAAAGTAAATATAAATACAGCTCATTCTAAGCTCTACTTATCTTTAAGAAAAATTCAAATCATTGTTGCAATTGGGCCTTAATGCCATTTCGAATGGACAATAGTATTAATAATGTACATTATAATAATAATAAATTTTATATCATAGTGTGTATTAAAACTACTAAAACACTTTTTAAATTGGTATTATATTAACAACTTTGTTTTTTAATCCAAAGAAAAAGTTACCAATTTTCTCAATCAAAATATTTGTGGTCCTGAAAAGGACCTTCGTTTTCCCATGTTCGTCAAGGTAGGTAATGGGTAAACGGTAAAAAACAGGATAATGAAATTTAAAAAATTACAAAAATTGTTCAAAAGTGCCCCCTCTTGCATTAAACCAAACGATCATAAAATCCCCTCCTCACATTGGATAACATATCAAGTGTCAAAGGCATTAAATATTTTCTGCCTTAACTGCTCCAAATTTTGAATTTCTTCATGGCCGTAAATTTTAGATTTTATGTACCCCCATAAAAAGAAATCATTCACCGAGAAGTCAGGTGAAATTAAACGTCAGTCTAAACAAAACTGTCATTTTTGAAAACTTAAAAATTTGGACACACGCTAAATGGACTTGATTTTCCTAGGTCTCGAAGTCTGTGGACTTTTCTGTATAATCTCACAGTAATTTAATAGATTGCTCGTCACATTATATCAGCTCGTAGAAGATTAGGAAAAAAAAAAGATATTTATAGTATAAAAAATTAATTTAATTAACAAAATTTAATTAAAGATGTGACAAAATAGTTACATTTCTATTGGTTCTATCGGACTTTTTTCGACTATATAAATCTTTATTTTTTGTAAACTTTAATGCATAAAATATTTTCAATCTAATAAATAATTTAATGATGTAAATAAGAGGAAATTTCTCACATGGGTGGTCAAATTCTATAGTTTTCATTATATCAAACAGCCTCTGAATGTTTTCTTCAGTGCAAAACTCATCAAAATTTAATATAAATATTTTTTCCAGCCTGTAAATAAAATGAACAAATTTTTCCACTTTCATGATCAAAGGCTTTTAAATGGGTAAATAATTTCGAGTTATCCAGAGATTCGGATTTTTTTGCAAATTTTAGACAAATATCACATTAATGTATTTGAAGACCCTTTTTAATGATGTAGTCGAACATAATTAAGGACATTTTGAGTTGAAAACATTTCTCAGAGGCTGTTTGATATAATGAAAACTATAAAATTTGACCACCCATGTGAGAAATTTCCTCTTATTTACATCATTAAATGATTTATTAGATTGAAAATATTTGATGTATTAAAGTTTACAAATAAAAATTTATATAGTCGAAAAAAGTCCGATAGAACCAATAGAAAGGTAACTATTTTGTCAAATTTTTAATTAAATTTTGTTAAATATATTAATTTTTTATACTATAAATATCTTTTTTTTCTTATAAAGAAACACATTTGCATCCCATTTTAAATAAGATATACAAATTACCAAAACTTAGAAATAACAGTTCGAAAGTTCAACAAAAATCCTACACGCGTTTTTAAAAACAAACATATATAACCACGCACTATGTCATTCCAGCAAGCGAATACGACACAGCATAGGTTTCCGGACTAAACGACTGGTGTATTTACACCACTCAATAGGCGTGTCGGGTTTGCCGAGCGGTTTCCGATGCAGTCGCTTTCTTTCGCATCTGTTATAGGTAATTTGTGGTTCCGTTTAAATCCCGAATAACCTTATGAAAAGGAATACAAAAATTTTCACAACTGGAAGCTATTGAAAACGCGCGAGAAGAAATAAAGTTTTTAATCTATTCTCGCTGTTAAAGTATCATTTAATCTACCGTTGCGGTTAAAGTACTATTTTATTTACTATTTTTGATAGATATAAGGGAATTTTAACAGTTGCTATGGAAAAAATAATAAAATACCCCACATAGCCCAATAAAGCAAACACAATATTGTTAAAAAGAAGTACAAAACAAGTGTCGAATTAATGCAGGCTTATTGAGTACGGTGTCTATTCGTATTTAGTCGGTCGAAACAATAATTCTAGCAACACAAGAACTGACATAAATTGCGATCAAACGTATCCTACTCGCAGAACAGCGTCGTGCACAACAATACGCCTCGTGAAACGTCAATTAGCAACGGAACAATTGCTTAGTGCGCTTAATTGAACACACAAAAGCCAACACGAGCTTATACAACTAATAATTTAATTATACGTTTTAAATTTTGATGAATTTCGTGAATCCAAAAAGTATAATAATTTTTTTCGTGGATATTTTTATAAACTCCCAAGCACAAAATTCCGCCACCCTAAAATTTTCACTAACTTTGATGTTTCATAACTTTTTAATTTGTAATCCGACTTTTATGATTCTGTTATTAGTTTATACAGTGTGACCCACTCAAGACCGGGCACCCTCCATAAAATCTGTGTTTATAGTCCGATTTTGATGATTTTTTTTTCAAATATAAAGTTTCAAAAAATGTACTTTAGGGCTCAATGTCATGTTATTTCACAAAAAACAAACCCTACTTAATAAAGTTTTTGTGGTGAAAAAATTTGCAAAATCATATTAGCGATTTTTTTTTTCAAAAATTTGAGTACACCCCCTGCATTCGGCATCCCCCAAAACAGTTCTGGTACCAAATTTCGTTTAAAAATATTAATTATTAATAATTCTGCAGTTAAATTAAATAATTCCTTATTTCTCTTTGCCAATTTAACGATGAGTTATCAAGTCAACCCTTTGAAAAAAACAATCACGACGAGTTTTATTACAAACAATGATAAAAATACTACAAGCAACACAATAACCGAATAATAAGTTAAACATATTCAAATAATTCTAGTTGCTTCTACCAGCCCTCCATTCAGTTCAATACATTTGTCGCATCTTTTTCTTAGATTAACAGTTACATTCCTAAGCTGCTGTGGTGTAATATTTGCAGAAGCCTCTGTAATTCTAATACGTAATTCATCTACAGATTGAGGTCTAGACTTGTAAACTTGTTGCTTTAAGAAACCCTAAAGAAAGAAATCAAGGGGTGTTAGGTCCGGGGATCTCGGTGGCCACTCAATTAGCGGGCTATTTCGACCTATCCACTTATTTTCAAAATTTTCATTTAACCATTCCCTGACAACTGCCGCGTTATGCGCAGGTGATCCGTCCAATTGAAATTTTAAATTCAAACGGGTTTGGCATGGTAAATTATGTATTGCATCCCAAAAGTCATTAATCAGAAAATTCAAAAACGTTGGACTATTCAAATTTCTCTCAAAAAAAAATATGGACCAATGATTCTATCATCAAGTATGCCACACCACACATTTAATTTCTGGAGAATACTGTCTTCTTGTATTGATCACCCATTCAGGGTTTTCGACTGCCCAGAATCGCGAATTTTGAGAGGATACTACTCCGTTTGTACTAAATGTTGCCTCATCACTAAATAAAATTTCTTTTTTAAGAAATTTCTATTATTTAAATACTCTGCTTGAGCCCATAAGCAGAATTCTAATCGTCTAACATCATCTCCGTTTTCCAAAGTGTGTAAAATCTTTGGTTTAAAGGGTTTAACTTTAGTAGTTCGCAAACATCTCCTAATATTTTCCCTTGGTATATCCAAATCAACACTGGCGCCTCTAATGCTTGCACGAGGATTGTTACGAAAATATTCTAATATTTCCTCATTCCGCCTATTTATTCGATGTTCCGGCCTTCTGTTTTTTAGTAAGTATTTTTGACACACAACCAGTTTCATTAAAAACTCTATTTATTCGTTGAACCGTGCTTCTACTTACTGCAGGGTCTGTCGGGATGTCTGTTGTTAAATTCTCTGGCAGCTTCTCCTGCTTGAAGATAGTTATCACCCACTAAACGAATAATTTCAATTTTATCCCTAATATTTAATTGTTCCATAATGCAAATAATATTTCTTGATACAACACTTTTCTGCGTGCTATTAAATTAATATTCAATTCTACGCTGCAAGAATTGACAGCTAATAAAAACCCATTGTTGTGGATTGTTTTTTTCAAGGGTTACGTGATAACTCATCGTTAAATTGGCAAAAATAGGGAATTATTTAATTTAACTGCAGAATTATTAATAATTAATATTTTTAAACGAAATTTGGTACAGAACTGTTTTGGGGGATGCCGATCGGGTGTACTCAAATTTTTGAAAAAAATCGCTAATATGATTTTGCAAATTTTTCACCACAAAAACTTTATTAAGTAGGCCTTGTTTTTTGTGAAATAACATGACATTGAACTCTAAAGTACATTTTTTGAAACTTTATATTTGAAAAAAAATTATCAAAATCGGACTATAAACACAGATTTTATGGAGGGTGCCCGGTCTTGAGTGGGTCACACTGTAGATACATTTTTTAGCATTATTTTGGTTAGGTTAGGTTAGGTTAGGGAGTATATTTTAAAAACAAATTAACAATTTTTAATAAATAATTTATTCTTATTTCTTTATTTTCAGGTACGTGATATCAGCCATCTGCGGCACTCAACTATGCCACAGCCCCCCCTGGGTCGTCACCCTGGTCTTCTGGGTCGGATACTTCAACTCGGCCCTTAATCCGCTCATCTACGCCTACTTCAACCGGGAATTCAGGGTCGCGTTCAAGAAAACCCTCCAGGGCTGCTGCCAGATGACGTCGAAGCTGCTGTGTCGCAGGTGGCGCAGGCGTAGGGAGCCCATTTCGTACAGCAACGCCTCCAGCGAGATCCACGGGAACCACCTGGGGAGGGAGGTTGGATTTGGACCGGGTCCAAGGTGTAGCTATAATATTTCGGAGGGTGAGATTGTGAATTTGCAGAGCGAGGCTGTCATATAAATACTTTATTTCGCGTTTTTTTTAATTTCTTAAGGGTTTTAGATAATAAAAAATGGTTAAAAGAGGGTTGTCATGTGTCACTCTCGCTGATTAAGTCTGACTGAATACGTCTTCAGTGAAACTTTCTATGAAACTGAAAGCTGAAAGCTAGTTTTACCATACGATCAAAAAAAACGCGTCAAAGACGACTGGGAAGTGGCTAAACGTTCTATCCTTTATTAATCTTTCTATAATTTTATTAATTTTTGACAAGTTTTATGTCAATTTTTAGTAAATGTCGTCTAGAGATTGATCTCGTCAAAATTATCATCGATTGTCATTCCGCAGCCCTCTTTGACAGTGTTTTTTTCCATCATACCGTATATTTAACTAGCAAAATGAAGCGTGTGAAGTACGTGAGAACCCGCTTTAAGATATGATTAAAAACTTATCACAGTTAGTTCTAGAGTTTTGTCTAAACATGGTAAAATAAATGTAAAAATAAAAAAAAATGTCTAGACAAATTTAAAATTATTGTGACTAGTTTTTGATGATACTGTTTGCTCAAATATCAACGCTGTTATTATAGGAAATTATGATTATCAGACTATCAGGTATTAATCAACAAACATCTGCTTTATAAATACTGAAAGCAAACATGTCAAAACTGTCATAAAATCGCTAGAATAAACACGCTCCTCATAAATAGAGGAAGTAATTGTTTTAAATTCGAGACGAATGCATTGCCAAATCTGTCCCAGACGGATTATTTATGCCACGTGGTTATCTCCCATATTCCCAGCCGATAAAAATGTATTAATGTGCAACTGGAACACATCCAGAATCCAGATTTCGGTCCAGGATGAACGAAAACGCGATACACTACATTTCCATTATGGGATTAAGCGAAAACGTTATGGAGATTATGTTGCGCGATATTTGCAATATTTAGAGATTTTTTGGAAAGCGCATGCTGTATACAGGGTGTCTCATTTACGGGTGTTTTACGGGGTTTCTTGTTTAAGAGTCTATTACGCTGTACAGGGTGTCCCACGAAGAATAGCTCTCGGCTGTATCTCGGAAAGTATTAGCCGTAGAGACTGCCGAAAAAAATTTTTGTAACTAAAGAGGCTATGGGAAATTGCTGGAAATTATTTTCAAGTTTGTAGAACGACCGCTAGGAGGCGCAACTGCAACAAAAAATAAGAAAATGGAGTTTTTACACAATTTTGCCTAGATAAGGTGTACTGTAAGTAACAGCTTCATAATCTTCAGTAAATTTTGAATATTTTTTGTTAGAGCCATTTTCCCTATCTACCAAAATAAAGTGGTGGGGGAAGGTTAGATCTGTTTTTATTTGAATATTAATAACTCTGGACTGGATGATCGGAATCCAACAAGCGAAGTCTCGTTTAAAAAGGCGTTTCTTACTCTATATTGCATCATATGAACAATATTAATCAGCTTTTGAACGTAGACGCTAGGGGACGTTGTCTTACAATTTAACAAACATTGTGCGTTTGTTCAAAAAAAATAAATGCAATAGTATATGTAATTTTAGCTGATAGTAAACAGTAATAAAAGCTTAAAAAGTCAGCGCAAACCGCATCTTGATATCCTCTTTCAAACCGAAGATATTAGCAAAATTATAATAAATACCAAAAAATAAGTCTTAGTTACCTTACTTTTACAACACGGTATCAGTAGCCCTCTTGATTATGCCCATTCTACACATACATACAGTTAGTTTATTTTAAAATCGACGATATACATATTTTTTATGGCTCATATTGAAATATTGAAAAATGTTTAGTTCATCCTCAATAAAATATGAAAATAATGTGGATTTTTGCCAGTATTGTGAACCTATAACTTTCGATTCTTTCTCGTGATTTCTTCTTCTTCTATTAGCAAGGAGCTCATAATTATTTCATGTTCGTGGTCATTTATTGTCGAGAAATACAGGACTCCGGAAGCGACTGATGAGAAATTCGATTGGCAAATACGGAGTAGAGATAATAATTTAGGGAGTAGAGATACAAAGATGCGCTTTTCACTCAGATTTATCCTAGGCTTCTTAATTCCTAAAACACAGGGCGAATTTTAAAATGTTGTCATGTGTAGCTCGTGTGTCACAGCCTTGAATTTTTACTCCCAGCACGCCTAAAGAAGAAGTTTGATTTCAAAAAAGAATAAATTTGTACAAGGTTATTATAAGAAAATATTTGTTAAATCGGTTTATATTTCGATCGCAAAACATCCAAAATAAACAGAACAGAAAAATAAATATACGATCATAACGGTCGATGAAGAAATCCTTTATAAATAAATAATTATTCCGCTGACAAAGTCAATATCAAACAGATATTTCGCCATGCGAAAAATCCTAATTATGCTTGTTTAATTTCAAACCGAAAATTCGACAATTTTACGTTTAGAAAATGCGTATAATTTTGTGTTTAACCCTCAAAGTTTCAGAGGAATGGTTTTTGTGAAACGATTTTAAACATTGTATATTTTAGAGTGATTTTCAATTTATTATAGAATAAAATTCATTATCTTGCCTTAAGCCCCATACTCACACTTCGCTCCTTCCTCGCGTTACTTCCTCGCGTCCCTTCGTTCAAAAATCATATATTTACTATGGGAAAATGTAGATTTTATGCGACTGTGTGTTCCTTCCTCCTTCGTCAAAACGCTACTTCGTCCGTTTACTTCCTCGAAACGGTCCTTCCACGTACTGTCGGTTTTTGGAGGAAGTAGCAAAGGAATTATCACGAACACAAAAAAATATTAAAATATATAAAATATTTAAATCGATTTTGGATTTCATTCGTAGTTGATTTCTTGATTTGGCAGTACGTCTGTACAGGGTGTCCCATTTTCGTGTGTTTTGCAGGGTTTCTCGTGTATGAGTCGAAATACAAAGATACGGTTTTCACATTACGCTGTTACTTTTTTATGAAACTAAATATGCTACATACAGATATGTCCTAGCTCTCTTACTTCCTAAAATACAGGGCGAATCTGAAATTATTGCATTTTTCGATCCCCTTTGTATCATAACTTATCGAAAAGGTGAAAACGGTCTCCCGTACAGTTTTTCACGTAGAATGCAGTGACGTAACTCTGACGTCTTTTTATAAATTGACTAAAACTTATATGTTTTTTTAAATACGATATTTTGTATATTATTTTATTTTCCTTGTTACGAGCTTTCTAAAATACTTATTTTCATAAACGGGGTAAAAATGCATTATTTAACTTTATTACATAGTCGGCCGGTTTAAATTAGGTAATCAAAACAATCAACCAATTTATTCGACGTAAAATGTTGGTTATTGGCATGTTATTTAAAAGCAGCACAAGTTCAGTTTCCGTGTAGTTTATCAAAATATCACGATACAAAGCAAAATTATCTGGTAAAATTAAGTTAAATAAAATAAGAGCCGTTTAGCAGTTTAGCAGTACCTAAATAAATAAATATAGAGTATATTATAATTTTCGAAAGTTCTCGTTAATCAAGGATTAACAAGGCAAATAAAATAAAAAATAATATATAGAGTGTCCTGTTTAAAAAAAAGAACATAAGTTTGAGTCATTTTTCGAAATAGACAGCTCCCAACGAAGAACCACTTTCGTCACTGCCATTCTACCTGAAAAACGAAACACGGGTGGTGGGTAAGTACTCAATAGGTAGAACAAAACAAAAATCAGGGTATCCGGTATATACCTGTACATTTAGATGAACAGTCTAATTTTATAAACGGTATTTCCAACGACCGCATAAGTAAATACCCGATATAATACCAGTAATGTCAGGAATACGAGTATATCTACAATATTTCTTATATATATTGTAGATATTATATATTGGTATATTTCTATTCCCGGCATTATACCGAGTATTTAATATGCCGTCGTCGGAAACTCCTTTTATTAAAATTAGGATGTTCAACTAAATCTACATATATACCCAGATTTTATTTATCTACAAATTGGGTACTTACCCACCGCCCATCACTGACCCTTTTCACCTTTTCGATAAGTTACAAGATAATCGAGATACAAAGGTTATCGAAAAATGCAAAAATTTCTACTAATTAAAAAATAAAAAGTAAAAGAAAGAAATAAGAAATAACTTTGAACTAAGAAGGCTAGGATAAATATGTATTTCAAAGTTATTTCTTATTTCTTATGTAGCATATTTAGTTTCATAATAAGTAGAACAATTATGTGAAAACAGCATCTTTATATCTCTACTCATAAACCAGAAACCCCATAAAACACACACAAATGGGACATCCTGTACATCTAGCAATCGCCAGTCGATATAAAAATAATTCACACACAATAGTCTAAAAATGGAAAAAAAACAATATTGTCTTCATATTTGTGAAAAAATGCATGTCCATATTTATGTAATCGTAGCGACAAAAATAAAAAATAGAAATAGTGTGCATGATGCCTTTACAAAAATATCTGAAGAAATGGGGATTGACATCATTAACGTTTAATTAGTATGTCATATTTCGTGGTTTCGATATAAATTACATAATGAACTTTACTCTATTGTTGACTCGCCTTGTACATTCATACTGATATACCTTGTACATGATACTGAAATATTCGGATTTATTAAAAAAAAATATATTATTAAAATTCAATTTTTATTTTTGACACGACAAAGAATTGCAGTTTTATAAAATAAAAATTATGCGCCTTTCGGATTTTTTAAAAATTTTAGAGGTTACTAGATATTTCGTATTAAACATGTAGCTGCTATATTAAAAATATTTTGTGGTGTGTTGTTGCATAACTGACTAATTTCCAAGCATCGAATAGACGAAGGAAGGAAGCGAAGGGACGAAGGAACGCGAGGAAGTAACGCGAGGAAGGAGCGAAGTGTGAGTATGGGGCTTTACTGCGGCTCCAACGTCATAGCAACGTAAAGTCCTAACGCTTTAACCACGCGGCCACCGAGGACTTGAAAGATTCTATGTAAAATTCTTACTTAAAAG